CGTGCAACTAATTATTATGAAAATTATTGATAATGATAGAATATATAACACAATTTATGTAATTTTTATTTAATTTATGATAATAAGTAATATTTTCAAAACAAACAAGATATATCTAGGTTGAAATGTCTTTAATTATTTTAGTAGTATTATAGTAACTAAAAAGCAGGTAAGAATGAAGTTCTATGTAATAAAAATGTAAGACTATGTAATAAGAGAACATATAGCTCGCATTCAATCCATAAATTAAAAAAGTGATAAAATTAATTAATGTCATATATCAGTTGGAGCTGACTAAGGGAAAATATAAACATATTCAAGATGGACATTTATTTTAACTAGAACTTTTAAGCGCATAAAAAATATATATTTTTGGCATTAAAAATTTGGTTTGGTAGTGTTAGTTTTTTTAGTTATAAATTTAATTACTGTCTGCCATTAGAATTTTCAATTTTGAAATACTTAATATTTATTTATTTCTTACCCTTTTTATACTTAAAAAGGAACACCATAATGGTTGTAACATATAACATATATTTTCAACGTATACGAAAATGAGTTAATTACTATTTTTTCAAACAATGGAAAAATATAAACTTTTTAATCTTATAACCAATATAAAAGTACATTTTTTGTCAAATATATTATTATTATAAATAAATAAATAAGTAATATTAAATAGTATTTATCATATTTGATTATATTAGTTGTAGACTAATAAATAAGATACTTTGATTACAATGTCATTATCTAAAGTAAGTACAAAAAAATGACGCAATACATATAAATGTGTTCTAATTATTTTTTAAATAAAATATTATTTGTAAATAGAATAAGAAACAAATAAAACGATAGTAATTCAATGGGAAAAGAAAAATGCTTGAATTTTCTTAGAGAAATATGAATACCAATATCTAGAAACAAAAGTCTTTTAAAATTACTACCTTTTTTCTTAGTGTCTAAATATATGAACTCTGTAAGAAATTTGTTCTAAAAAATAATGATCCTATATTATCAAGAATTTTAAATAATTTAAAAAATAAAAACTTTGTAATACATAATGTAAATTTTAATAATAAGTTGGTAATAATAAAGTTCACACTTCACAGAGCGGCTAAAAGTATCATAATATAATATAATTCTAATTCTTCTCTTCCCAAATATTTTAACAAATGATTTTTTTTATTTTTTTTATTTTTTATTTTTTATTTTTTATTCAAGAAAAAATCTTTATCTTGAATTTTCGTAGCATTATGTATAATGCGAAAAAATTGGACAATAAAATCATTAAAGAAGTTATTAGACACATAAGTACTGCAAATTCGAACGAATGTGAAATATATTATATATGATAAACAACGCTATAATCATTGCACCAACCAAGATGATCTATGATTTGCAAACAATAGATTACATAGTTCGTTTGTCTTCTAAATAAATAACATTTAAAGGAAAATGTCGAAGTCTGATCAGAACATTCTTGAATGTTTGAATGAAATTGTCCCCTTTTTATAGGAATATTTACAATCTCAGTTTGTATTTTTCTCGAACATATGTGAAATTATTTTAAAGTACGTACTTAATGTAACGTGATGATTTCAAAAAGTAATTTAGCGTCTCGGGAGAAATACATTTAACCAAAATTTTGGAAAGTCAACATTTATTTGGAGATGAAATTCATTTCCACCCCGTGGGGCAATGCCTCCATGGGTAGACATGGCCAAAACCCGGGCCGGGTCACGACTCGGCCCGGCCCACCGGGTCGCTGGGTCCGGGTCACGACATGGCCTATACTCGTGCCGGGTCCGTATCCGGGTCCTGCTGGGTCCGGGCTTTTGTAAAAAAAAGTATAAAAAAATAATAAAAAATTTGAAAAGAAGGGTCATCGACCCGGCCCGGCCTTGACCCTCCGGGCCGAGTCATGAAATGAATGACCCTTACACGGCCCTTCTGAAATCCGGGCCGGTCCCGGACCCGTGGTCAACTGGTTTGATCGGGTCAGGTCCGGGCCGGGTCGGCGGGCCGGGTGACCCTTTGGCCATTGTTGTAGCAAATTATTTTTATTTTACCGAGCACTGAATCGAATGATTCGTTTTCCAGGTCGATCTCTCGACGAAGACTGTTCGGAATTTAGAATTGGTGTTGATAACACATAAAAGCAAAATAAATCCTACACATTCTAGTCATGATAGGGTTGGAAAATGATTAACTAAAGTAATAACATAAAACGATAATCTATCTAAAAGTATAAACGACACAAAGGTAAAGATGCTAGAGAATCGGGAATAAATATTTTGAATCGAAATGCAATCATTGGCTTGTGATTGTTCGGTTAAAGAATTCAAGTCATCTACATGTTTAAAGGTTCATCCTCAATACCTTTCGGATTATGAGAATAAATATAAACGGTAAATTAACGAGTTGTAACAAATAGACAATACCTTTCGGATTATGTCTATTTTGTATGAGGTTCGATCGATTGACCTTTCCTCTTTCGGTTCAAGAGTCGATTAAAATATACTATAGGATGGTTAGTCGTCTAGTCTATTCGGATCGTGATCGTCACAAAAGAACACATCATATTCAATTTAGAAACAAGTTTAACATTGAAGTGTCACTCTTCAATACTTAGAAATAAATTGCAAGGTTGAATTGTCACTTTTCAACAATATGTCATTCCAAAGTGAAAATCAAAAACCGAATCTAGAATTAACTCATACAAAGTGAACAATCGACGAGTACGATAATTACATACGAAAGCAAATATTCATTCCCTATCCCTAGCAATAAGAATTAGCTAAGCATATTGAATTCAACACAACATAACATTTCTCCTAAATTAATCATTTTTCATGAATTAATTAAAGAGAGAACTTACAATTAATCCCAATGTTGAATCCAATTACAAAGCTTCATCCACAAGACCAAAAGAAAAATACAAGAAGAAGATGGAGAAGGAGAGGGAAAAGAGGGGAAGAACCCTCTATGGAGTTGTTTTTTTTCTCCAAGATCTTGCCATCCTTTTATAGAATTTTCTCCACTTTTTCCTCCACAAATCCTTCCACAAAACATGTTAAAGTGCCTCATCTTCCATTCATAATGTTAAATGGCTCAAAACATGGAGGAATATATGGGAAGTGGCTCAAAACATGGAGGAATATGTAGGAAATGGCTCAAAATATGGAGGAAAACACGAGTGGAGGGTCCATATGTGGAACAGGCGCTCCGCGGCCGCGACTTTTTTCAGCTGAAGAAGTGCTCCGCGGCCGCGACTTGCCTCCGCTGCCCGCGGTGAAGAAAACTGGACTGCATTGCGCGACTTTACGTTTTGGGCTCGTTTGGGCTCATCCGAACTCGGAATTGAGTTCCGTTTTTTCCTACATGTAGCCAACGAAGCCCTCTACGCATTTGTGTTCTCAAATCCAACTTCTTTTTTAGAACTTATTCACCCAAAGCTTTTGACTCCAAGTTGATAGCTTCCGTGCACGAATTCGCATATTGGGCCCGTCCGGACTCGTCCGAACTCGAAATTGGATTCCGCTTTTTCCTATATATCGCCAACTAACCCATCTATCCAACCATGATTTTCCGACCCATTTTCGAGCGAAATTTATTCCTCACGGGCTTCTGACCTGCACACCAAAAACAAGAAGAAAAAACGTAGAAAACCGACAAAATATGCGAAAAACATATAAAAAACCAAAATAGAGTAAAACACACAAAACGAACTAAAAACCAACTAAAAGACCTAAAACGGGAAAAAAAGAACGACAAACAGTAACGAAAAACGTAACAAAAATGGTCACAACAGCCATGTCTATCCATGGGGTAGGTATGGACATAGTAATGAAGTTGTTATACAATGATAAAAAAATATCAACAATTTAATGATATGGTTGGTTATTTTACAAATATATATTCATGAACTGTTAATAGAAATACGTTATAAAGATCATACAATCATGATATTTGACTATATGTTTGGCCAATATATTTATAAGTGTTGGAATGAAGTAGACGTTTTGCCAAATTAATTAATACAAATTTGCAATACTATTGGTGTATTGGGCTCCAACGAGTATGAATGTTTGTTATGAAAACGTCAAAACGAAGATGAAAGGAAATCACTCTCTAATTATCTAACATAATTAAATAAAATAACTAATGCATTGATAATATACATTAGGTTGTTATTTAGTTATTTAGTGTTTTTTTTCCATTAGGGCCTGTATTATTTTTTTTGGGTTGTAATATGTTATTTAATAAATTAATTAATTAATTTTACTAAATTTAATAGGTAAAAAACATTCATCACCACGTGCGATGCACGCGCACTTTACTAGTTTTGAAAAAAGTAGTATTGTTAGTTATTTGTGGGTATATTAAAATAATATTTAAAATAAATTATTAAAATTGATTTGATGTAAAAGTAGGAGAGAGTTGATGTGATGGTTAGTTAAAATAATGTGAGTGGATGAATAGTGAATTAAGGTTGACGTTGTGTGTATGAATGATTGATTGATATTATTTAATTATATTGATAATATTGATGATAGTGAGATTGAGTTAAAGTTGAGTTAAAATAAGTGGTTGAGTTAAAATGTTAGAAATTTTTTGAAAATTTTTATAAACAAACATGCTCAATTTTGCCCCAACATATTAGTAGATTCCATCAAAATTACAAGGCGAAATAAACATCAACCCAATTCCACCGCATATTAGTATATAATCCAAAACACAACAATAAAATACAAATTTGGATGAAGTTAAATTATATTAGAGTAAATTAAAATGAACTTTGCAACAGAGCCGTGACGATGGACTTGATCACTTGATTGATGGTGTGCAGGGAAAAGCAGACGCAAGCTTTTTCAGAGTAATCATGACAGGTATGTACAGTAGAATTCCTGATTTAAAAATTGAAAACAAAAATAAACTAGACAATATCTATACATTAACACGTATAAATTAACACACACAACTTGCAATAGCCAGTTGAACTTGAACACCCATTAATTGTACTCAATCAGATGGCAAATTCCTCAGTAAGCCTGAAGCTACTGATAGACACCCGAGCCAAAAGGGTGTTGTTTGCGGAGGCCGGCAAAGACACCGTAGATTTCCTCTTTTACATACTCTCTTTGCCGGTAGCCAAGTTAATCAGCCTAATCGGAAAACAAGAGATGGTGGGGTCCTTAGCAAACTTGTACGAGAGCGTACAAAAGTTGAACGAGACCTATATCCAACCGAACCAGACAAAAAACACCTTCCTCAAACCGGCTTACCCGGTCCCAGGTTCCACAGCTGTTCCTCTATTGGCCCTCAAGGACTCGTCCTCGGGTGATGGTCAGAAAACGTTCTATGGGTGCAGCTGTCCTAACTATGGTAATAGCTATATTAAGTGTGTTAGTGATGGCCCAAATGCCACCTGTACAAGGTGCAACCACATAATGTCAAAAGCTTTGACTTATGTGGCCCCACCTGTTGTGCAAAGCGTGTCGTCTGGTTCGGAAGGCGGGTTTGTGAAGGGGGTGGTGACTTACATGGTGATGGATGATTTGGTGGTGACTCCTATGTCCACTATTTCCAGTATTACTCTACTTAATAAGTTTAAAGTCAAGGAAGTTGGTGCTTTGGAGGAGAAGGTCGTGAGTTTTGGAATGACTGAGGTAGTAATGCATTTGGTTAAGTTTAAAGAATCATGTATTAATTTGATTTTTTAGTATATGTATATATGTTCATGCTTGTGCAATTGATTTAATTAATTATTTGAAATATTTATATTCAATTCAATGATAATTGTAGGCGGTGAAGTTGTTGAAGGCTTCTCTGGAGACTAACACTGTGCTTACCCAAGTTTTCCTGAGCCGTGGCGTATGAGTAAAGTCGAGGAGTAGTTTGGCTTCAGCTCGTGGGCCGTGGCAAGAATATTTATGGTTAATGATCTAAATGTTTTGTTAATGTAATTGGGGCTTTTGCACTGTGTATATTTAAGATTGCCCCCGCTTTTTGGCTTATTATGCTCGCGCATCCTTTTGCAACTGTTCTGGGTTTATGTAATGTATTTGCAAGTGTCATCTGTTCATTTAAAACGGTTTTTGTCAGCCTCATCCGCCTATATTGAAAGAAATATTGAAATGTTAATGGGGTTTTGATATTCAGATTTAACACTTTTTCAAGTTTCACGGGGTTTTGATGTAACGCATCCAACAATTGCCTTCAACGGTGCTCGTGAGGGTACTTCAGTTGTTTTAATCTACGCCTCTGCACAAAAGTTGCACAAAACCATGTCGAATACCTATCTACAGTCTTTACCAAGATCTTGCGGTTCGGAATGCTCCTTTAAGTAGTTCATATAATACATCCAATAAGAAAGCAAAGTTCTCAAAAGAGGATCAATTGTCAATCGGTCAAGCTATCAATTCAATAGTTTATTAGTTCGACCAATGTGATGTTGCACGATAGTGTCGGTCGGAAGGACCAACGTTGTCTTAGCTCGGCACGAGTAAATACTAGGCCGGACACGAGTGAGGTCGGCCGTGGAAGTGCCGACCTTCGAAAGAGGTTTGAGTAATCCGCGCACTAGCACATGACGAGGTGACGAACTTTGGGTAGCGTGGGCGCCTATCTAGTTCTACATGTCCTCGAGGAACACATGTTAGGTCGGCGATACGTGTTAAGCCGAATCCCCAACCTTTATATAGTCAAGACTCTAAATGGACCGAATAATCATAGGTCTAAACAAGTTCAACCAACAAATGAAAGAAAAAGACAAACAGCCAAAAGGAAAAATCTGAGCTTGGGCTGACAGGTGCCAGGCAAGCAGTCAGCTCCACAAAAAGCGTCGAAGCACAAAATTACAAATATACAGAACGACTACTAGAATATAAATGAAGCGTAGCCCATCTGGTCAATCTCTACAAGAATACAAAGGCGGATAGGGGCGCCATCCAAGTGGAAGGTGCGCCTCAGTGGGGTGGAGGCACCTAGGCTGGCAAGGTCATCAACAGGGCAGTTCCCCTCGCAGAAAATGTGCGAGATCTGGTAGCTAACCGACTGAAGTTTGGATCTGATGCGCAGGAGCGGGTGTTGAATCTGCCACGAGCCCTGATGGCTTGAGGTCAAGAGGGTTGCGACAGCGGCAGCGTCTAGCTCTATCCAAATGTGCAAAGAGATAGGGGCTGCAATCTGAAGACTGATTTGAAGCGCCTGATCCTCTGCATTGTAGCTCGAGGAGGCCTGAAGAGGGGCATGGAAAACGGTAATGAGAGCTCCGTTGTGATCCTTAATCAAACTCCCACCTCTAGCGGCTCCAGTAAGTCGGTCAAAAAATCCGTCAAGGTTTTAGCTTAACCCAAGGAGAATCGGGTCTAAACAACAATGACTCTGGGTCGTGGGTGCTGGACAGGCGGCAACGGAGATGGTACGAAGCGGTCTGGCAGCGTGCAGCCAGTCTAATCTATAGGTGTGAGTCTGTCCAGAGTTGTGAGAAGAGAGAAATGTCGATCAACCTTCAAAACAATGTGAGAACACATATAAGTAATATTTCTATGCTTCACACTATTCTTTTTTGTCCATATGAACCACAAGATTAGACACGAAATGAGGAAACCCACGTGTCTAAAGTGTGTGCGCCATGAGAAAAAACTCGGGAGCACAAAAAAACTGTCTGTAGCGGTTAGAGGTATATGAGTATATAAGTGGCGAAAATGCTCCATTTCTCTCCTCGCAACCTTACTCTCTAGAAACTAATGGGAAAAGGTCTCAGTCTGGAAATTACCGGTCTCGGTAATTCGGCGCAAAAGAAGGCAGCAAAGGAAGACACAGATGGCTAGGGTAAGTAGGTCGGTCAAAATGGCCCCGAAGAGAAGGTTAGACTGGTTACCCAGCTGTACTTCTCCCCAAGCTGAGGTCGCATAAAATGCACCCCACAATGTAAGTCTCCACGACATACCGTCCGACCCGTCCTCCAAGATGGAAATCTGTTGGATCTGATCTAAAACTTAGTCACTAAAACCTACTCCAGTACCAACACCCTCTCTAACCTATCCCGATCCCAAGCCCCATCAATCCACATGTCCTTCACCCGAAGGGAAGGAGAGTGAGTGACATGTCTAGTGCTCTAAAACACATTGGTGGAATTCTTGCAAAACGATACAAATAAAATATTTTATTTGTAATATATAGCTCTAAAACAATTAAAAATAAAACTAACATTTGCGGTATATAATAAAAAAATAGTTGTTGTCTTCGTAGTGTGTCATGCGGAACTTTATTTGCGTAATGTTCTGATAAAACAATATTTTCATACAATTTTATGAAAATAATATTAATATACGGATAAAAAATTATCTCTTTATGCTTGTCAAAGACATGATTGCACCTCTTTGAAATCCAGCTACACTATTTCTATGATATCATTCTTATATATATTTTTTTTATTTTTTTAATATTATTTCTAAAAAATCTATGTATTTTTTTACCTTTAATTACAATCCTATTTTTATGTCATGTTCGATTATAAATTGTCCTTTTTTGTTTCATTTTTCCCATAATCATGTTGATATTGGTAAAAAAAACCTAAACTCAGATTAATTATTTTTTTAAGTAAATAGGTTATTCACTATTTTTCAGATACATATCATATGAATATGCAGGATCTCTCATATTTTTACATCAAATCAACTTTAATTATTTTATTTTAATTATTATTTGATATAAATTCAAAATCTCACTAACAACTAATTCTATCCCATTTTTCCAAAATTAACCATGATTAATAAAAACAATTCATTTTGATCGAATATTATTGTATACAGACGCACCCTAAGTCTTTTAGAACTTGATGGTACACATTTCTATATTTATATTTATGGTAAATACATTTTTATATGAAATGAGTATTTCGACTTAAACTACAAGTTCATTATTTAACATTGTGTACCATTTAACACTTGATGGTACACATTTCCAGATGCGTCAATTGTTAAGAGAATTTATTGAGATCATATCACGTGTATTTCTTATTGTTATGAAGTTGAGAGATTTTTGTCAACCTATCTATATATATAATTGCTAGCTAATCTCATTTAATAAAACATTTAATAAAAATATTTTCACTTTCCCTCCAAAAGGAGTTACATTTTTTTTTTTTAATTAATTACTCATTAATCTTACATTTAAGAAGGTTTTTTATAGTTAAATTTAATTAGTTAATGACTAAATTAAAAAGATTTATTTTAATTAATCCCACATTTATGTTAAGTACAGTATTATCTTAATATCTTATCAGTTTTTCAAGAAAATAGTAACTTTTTTCAATAAATTTTATAAAAATTAGTCAAATGTGCTTGTATTCATATAAATCAGAAAAAAATTAAATTTTAGATATATAAAAAGAACATCGTTGAAATAACTTAAATCCGCAAGGGTAATTCTATACTCATTATCAATTACTTTAAATTTTTTGTATATATTAAGAATTAATATTATATTTACTCATTTATATTTAGATGGTATTTTTTTATTAAGAAGCAAGGACAATCTCTATCAATCAATAAGAGTCAAGGACAAACAATATAAAGAAGTGTTTTCTATGCTATGACATGATCAATAAGAGTCGAAGACAGTCTCTGTCGCACGTCGGCTTACTACTGAAGAGCTCTGCATTTAGTCATGAGCAATTATACGTGGCGCTTTTTAGAGTTACGAGTCAGTGGGGTTTGAAGATTTTGATTTGAGTTGAGGGAGATTTTGACGATAGAAAAACCACGACGTTGTTTTATAAAGAAGTGTTTAAGAATATTTATATTTTTTTCTTAATTTTTTTCAATGAATTTGTTATGATTTTTACTATTGTTTATAATTTTTATTATTTTTTCATGTATCATATAGTTTTCCGTGCAAATGCACGGGACAAAAACTAGTTTATATAATAGGTTGGTAATGTAGCATTTTTCAATTATATTTGCGTTCCTAGTTGTAAATGATGAGATGAACTTGTGCACAATTTAAAATATGGCAATTTTCAAGGAGCCCGATGGGGGGAAGATCGAATTTTTACCCAAAACAAAGATTTGACAATTGGAAAATGAATAGACAGGATTTCGCAACGGAAAAGGCAGAAACAAGCAAGATCTATTTTTAATTTTTGTGAAGAACTGGAAGGTTAAAAAACTATTTGGAGGAATAACGAAATCTGTTAACCGATCCATTAACATTTAATTAACTTCACTATATGGAGTAATTATATATTATCCACTAGATTTCATTGAGCTTCCAATGACATGAGTCACATGACTACTGCACTTCCTTGTTTCACTTACAACATTGGCGCGCTCCAATCTTGAATACTTGAAACGCCAAACACGGACCACCAACAGTCATCCAATTGGGGCACTAAAACAGCCAATGGAGAAGTCCAAACATCACTTACAAATCCTATATAATCACATACTCGGTGAATCTCCAACATTCAACTTCTTCAATTGAACATATCATTAAAAAAAAAAAGATATATATAAATAGCGAAATCCTCGGTCAGCATGAAGCTCCTCATCGACACCAAAGCCAAACGCGTCCTATTTGCGGAGGCTGGCAAGGACTCTGTAGATTTCCTGTTCTACATACTCTCCTTGCCCGTGGCCAACATCATCAACCTGATGGGCAAACAGGGAATGGTGGGCTCTCTCGGGAATCTCTACCAAAGCATAGAAAACCTGAATGAAACCTACATGCAGCCAAACCAGAATAAAGACACACTTTTGAAACCAGCCCACTCGATCTCCTGTTCGAGTGTTCCTCTGCTGGCAATTGGGGACTCGCCTACGGTCAAGGAGTTGTACACGTGTACCAGAAACTGCATTTCTGTCACAGAGGACCCCACCGCCACCTGTCATGGCTGCAACTGTAAGATGACTGTGTTGATGGATTACGTGGCCCCACCTGCGGTTCAGAAAGAGTCCGGCCCAGAAGGTGGGTTTGTGAAGGGGGTGGTGACGTATATGGTGATGGATGATTTGGCAGTCTCTCCTATGTCCACTATTTCTAGTATTACTCTGCTTAATAAATTTAATGTTAAGGAAGTTGGGGCTTTGGAGGAGAAGGTCGTGAGTTTTGGGATGAATGAGGTTTGTACCAATTATTGTATCTGTTTGCTGAATATTGTTTGGAAATATTGTTTGGAAATTAATATCTAATGAATTAATGGCTAATTTTGTTTAATTGACTATAGGTTGTGAAGTTGTTGAAGGCTTCTTTGGAGACTAAGAATGTGCTTACACATGTTTTCCTCAACCGTACAGCATGAGTGAGGTCGAGGAATTTGGACTTTGCACTGTTTATGGTGTTTTGGGCATTTTTAGTATTTATATGATTACCCGACTTGCTATCTTATGTTAGTACATCCTTTTGCAACTATGCTATGATGTTATGTAATTTGTCCCTTTGAAATTTGCAACTTTTGTCTACTCTGTTTTAAATGGCTTGTCTTCCTGATGCTCACCAATGGAATGAAAGGAAATTAAAGTACTTATGATGTTCAGAAAAAAAAAAAATATAAAATCCAACATTCTAAATTAAAACATGTATTACTACAACACTCATGTATTACACTGGTGTTTGTTAAAAAATTATTTCTAAATTTTAAAATTAATGAGAAAAATTATTTTAAATTTTATTTACTTGCTTATAAAATTATATATTATTATATATTTTAGAATGACACTTGTTATTTGTACGACTTACATGTGTTATATTATAGTAATTTTTATAACTTATATCTTATAACTGCTTGAAATATAATTATATTAAATAATAAATAAATTTATTTTTCTAATTATTATTAAAAACAATTTTATTATTGTTATAAAGATAAATATAATTTATTTTTTTTATACATACAATATGGATGTTATATCGAAGCTATATTATATATGTAAAATTGATAAAAATACAAAAGAACTTTTAAAATACACTTATAATTCAATGGTTATTATAATAAGAAATAATATCAAAATTCAATTAATACATGTAACTTGACCATAAATAATTAACATATTTATGTATAATCCGGACTTAATTATTTTTAAATATAAGTAAATTAAAATCTATCAAAGCCTAATAACGAAACATGTAATTTTGTCACATAGGATCCCGAAGCATGTGAGTCATCTACTTAGGGGGTGTATTCAACTAGGACTCTTAGAGACTTTTTAAGACTTTCGAAATTTGAGAGTATTTAATTGAAATTTTTTGAGATTCTAAAAAGTTTACTGTAATCAATTAAAACTTTCCAAGAGTCTCTAAAAGTTACCCGTTATTCAAATTGAGAAGAATTTATAGGACTTTTAAAAGAAAGGGATTTTTGGAGACTTTTTATCAAAAATATAAAGAAACAATCCTTGTAAAAATCTCACCAAATTTGTGGGATTTTACGTGAAGACTCTCTTCTACTAGGTTTTCTCCCACTCTTTTCTCTCTAGGATTTCAATTCTTCCCAATAATCTCACCAAATCTCACCTAGTTTTTTTTTCTTTTTTTTTTAAAAAAAAAATCCCGCAAATCGTGAACCTCACACATGATCTTCCAAAATAAAAGTTGGAAGCAAGCAGTGTTCTACCACAAAATACACATGCTTTATTCTGGATTTGTACATTCATTTTCCTTGTACGTGAATTGCATGAAAAAAAATTTAGGTTTCACTGACTGTCAGTGTTTATGTGGAATCAAGCAGTGTTTCATACAAGCATTGTTTGTTATTTTTACTACAAAATACACTTTGTGAAAAAAAATTCTTTGTGAATGCACATGAAAAATTTGGAAGCAAGCAGTGTTTATTCTTTGAGATTTTTTGTATGTTTATGTATATTCTAGTGCAAGGGGAAATTATGAGATCTGAGGATGGAATTTTTTGGTGCCTAGGTTTTTTTGTTGCAAGGTTCAGACATTTGTGATGATGTATATACTGAAAGCTTGGCTTTAGATGTATTTGCACTTAACTCGTTTGAATGAGAGTCATGTTTAATTAAAAACTCTATGTTCTATTGTTTTGCATTTAGATAAGATGGTTCGTCATCGGGTGAACACAAGATCATTATATCAGTCACTTCTGAAATAAGAATAGATGGTTCACAACCTAGATGGAAATGAACAAGCCATCGAGAATGGTTGTAGTGTTAACCGTACAGTTGGTCTTGATTAATTAGTTACACTAGTACACTTTGTGTACTGAAAGAATCCCATAGAGGAGAAATTCGTTTTATACTGATCGTCGTAAATGAACTAAGCCTCGATTAATTACTGCGTACTCTTAACCCGTAAGATATTAACAGGCACGTGCATGCAGTAAATATTACTTTGATTCACTTGGGTGAGATTCAGTTTACTGAGTCAATATACTTATTGTTTTGGGTAATATTATTGTATGTATAATGTGCTGTTAGAATATTTATGGGCACCGTGTGCGATAGTTTAATGATGTCCCCGAGATATGCTCATGAAGGATTATTATTTTAAATCTGGCCAGTAGAATTTATTCCGACATAATAACAATGTGATGAGTGGTACTAGTCTTTTGTTATAGATGTTTGATTTATTTAATTGTCAGTAATTAAATTAATTGATGGAAATTATATCTTAAACACGGGGAGATAAATCGAGTAATTATTATTGGAGTTTCGAATATAATTCGAGAATTAAATTGGGAGTTTATTCAATAATACTACTTTAGTGGAATGAATGTATTATTCCTATTTAGGTTTGGTAGGCTTGGCCTACAGTCTAATCCTAATAGGAAAAGCTCAATTTAATACCTCCGTAGGGTCCTTGTTGTAGCCTATAAATACATCGCATCTCTTGAGATTAGGAGAATTAACTGAAGTTGGACGATGGAACAGAAACACGCCGCCCCTCTCTCTCTGTTCTCTCTCTCTCTTTCTCTCTCTCTCTCTCTCTCTCTCTCTTTTGTTCTCTTCTTCTTCTCCAAGTAATTCCAATAGAGATATCTTTGATTTCATCACCCACCAAGATGATTGGAGAGGATGTCAGGTCATACAACAGAAGATCTGAGGTGATCGAGCAATTTATATATATTTATCCAACCCCGTAATGTTTCGGTAACTCGCGGGGTTGTCCGTTCTTCACGAAAAGCGAGAATTATACCAACCCGATATATTGGAACTGACCGGCAACCTCCGACCACCATTCTCTGGTGATCGATGTACTTCCTACGACCAGACGTCGCCGGATGCAGCGGTGNCACGCATCTGCCTGCTTCCTGTGCGGCCCAGAGCGAGGCCCGCGTGCCTCCAGCGCCCAACCCGTGGCCCAGTGCACGGCCCATCAGCGCCATTCGGCCCAGATGTGACCAGATCTGGCCCAGCCCGTGTCCAGCAGTTCGGTTCGGCTCAGATCCGATCCAGACTAGTGCAACAGGGGTCAAAGATCCGATTCGAGTCCAAGTCGAGTCTCGGGAGGTTTGACCAAGTCAACGGAGGTCCAGCATGATCCGACATAGACAGTGAGCGATCCGATGGTGGTGGTGGGGCTAGTCCGGCTACCCAACAGACTTGAGACTCATATGATCTCCTTCAACGAAAATCAGAAACGTCTCAGAGTCGTCAAATTTAAAAACGGTACGCGTTGAACCCTCGCTTCTAGTTCCGCTGCACATAGGGTTTAATTCGTAGATATTCTGTGACTTGCATATTAACGAGATCCTCACAGATCCTAACAAGTGGTATCAGAGCACTTGGTTTAATTCGATTTTGTGCAATGTTCGGACTTTAGAGGCTTATGTGAATTATATGCGTACGGGCGCAGCCATATTTTGTGGAATATTATTGCATAACTTGGTTTTGCAGGATAATCTGTTTCCACTGTTATGGCCTTAAATCTGTGCTTTTTTATTTATTGCACGTTTTTAAAGTCTCGGACATGTCGAGGAATTTTGGGTCTTGAACGTTTGCAATAATTATTCGCCCGGTTGAACACTAGATAGATTTAATTATTTTTGTAGAAGAACATGTAAACCCATATGTGGGGTCTAGGATCGAAATATGTAATGTTTTGAATTATATTTTGATCGTGTTGATGACGGATGAACCCGGACGACCTTGGCTATCAGAGATCAACGAGACCACGGACCTCGACGACTCGATTGACTGTGGACCACCACGAGATCACGACCGGCTGTACGAGTATGCACGGAACACGGCGGCTCGGCTGCCAGGTGTCCAAGGTGCGCGACTCACGGTAGCCGGAGGAAGATGATCAGTCGTGGGTGTTAGTGTTATATACTGAAAGCTTGGCTTTGTATGTTATTACACATTTACCCTTTATGAATGAGAATCATGTTAGATTAAACAAGGTCTACGTTCTGTTGTTCTGCACTTAGATAGAGTGGGTCGTCATCGGGCGAACCGAAGATCACTCTATCAGTTACTTGCGAACAAGAATAGTTGTTCACAACCTAGATGTACATGAACACCCCATCCGAATGGTTGTAGTGTAAACTGTACAGTTTGTCTTGACTGATTAGTTGCACTAGTACATTTATGTATTGAACAGGATCCCAGAGAGGTGAAGTTCATTTTATACAGATCGTTGTAAATGAACTAGGCGTCGGTTAATTAATGCGTTCTCTTAACCTGTAAGATATTAAATAGGCCGATATATATAGTATATATTACTTTGATTCACTTGGGTGAGGTTCAGTTTAGTTGATCAATAATTCTACTGTTTTGGGTAATATTATTATATATAGAATGTGCTGTTAGGATATTTACGGTCACCATGTGCGTTAGTTTGATGATGTCCCCGGAGTGAGTTCATGAAGGATTGTTATGCTAAATCTTATAGGTGAATTAAGTTCCGGCAGAATAAGAATGTGATGAACGAGCGCTAGTTTTGGTGAAATAATAATAAATTAATTAATTTTTGATTGTCAGTAATCGAATTAATTAATGGACATTATATCTTAAACGTGTGGAGGTAAATCGAGTAATTATTATTGGAGTTTCAAATGTAATTTCGGCTAGGAAAAGGGAGTGCAATAATATAATGTTGGTGGCCCATTAATATTATTTAATTAATTAGAGGAGTGGGCTTGGCCCACAGTTAGTCTAATTATTTAAGGAACCCTTTTCCTAATATCTTTGGGGTCCCTACTGTAGCTCTATATATACATCATTAAGCTCATGAGAAGAGGAGACATCTGTCATTATTCATGATACACGCCCCACGCCTCTCTCTCTCTAGATCTAATTCGAGCTTTATCTTCTTCTT